ATTATTATTATTATTATTATTATTATTATTATTATTATTATTATTATAACATTTCTATGCCGCCCCTTGCCGAAACCTCGGGGCGGCTTACAACATGATAAAATACATTGAAATACAATAGTAATAGTACATTATTAGCCTTTCTGTAAGCTTCCCTGCACCCCAAAATTGTAAGCTGCCCCGAGGCTTCGGCGAATGGGGCGGCATAAAAATGTTTTAATAAATAAATAATAATGATTTCAGCCAATTTACTGAAGCAGAAATTAAGTTAGCCAGTCTGTGATTTTCCGGATCTTTCCCGGATCCCGTGTTAAAAATTGATGCTAAATTGGTGACTCACCTACGGAGAAGGGCATGAAAGCGCTGTTCTTCTTGAATTGCCCGTTCTCGTCCAGGAAGTGCTGGGGGTCGAACACCTCCGGCCTTGCAAAATACTTCGGGTCCCTCATCACGGATCCCAGCATGGGGAACACTTCAGTACCCTGGAAAAAGAGGGGAAGCACTGGGGTGTTGGGGAGCTGAAGGGCAAGCGTGTCCTTCTGAAGGGCAAGCGTGTTTCGGGGAGCCGGTGTGGGGCCTCTGCCCTGCGACCGTTCCCTGCCTTCCTCTTCCCGGAGCAGGCAGGGTCAGTGTGAGGGGCCTTGCGAGACCCGACTGGGCCCAGTGCCGCAGCCCAGCTGCTGAGCGGGACTGTGCACACGGAGCCGGACTCCCCGTGGTAGCAGCTTCACAGCCTGCTTGCCGGCCTGTTTCCAAGCAGAATTGGAGGGCTCCCTATGACTCGTGAAGCCCCACGTGGCCCAAGAGAAGCCAGGCAGCCTGGAATGCCACTTTCTCGGGGGGTGCCCGCCCGGCAGAGGCTCCCGGCCTGGTACCGCCACCACGAGGCACACCACGGCCGGGATCACAAGGGGAGGCCTTCTTGGGGCCGCTCCCAGGCTCCGGGACTCCCTGCCAGGAGGGGCAGCGGTCCCCAGCCCTATCCTTCTGCTTGTGGGCAAAGACATTGCTAGGCAGGCAGGCTTGGAATGACTGGTTGGTGCCAGGGACATCTTTTAATGCTGCATTTCTCCCCTGTTCGCGTTCATGCTGTTTTCCTGAGGATTTTGCTTTCCACCTGTGCCTTCCCTCTAATTGCCCAAGCGTCCTGTTTTAGCGAAAAGGCAGCGCAGCAACAGCAGCGGCACCTTGGGGATGGAGTATCCTCGGAACTGGGTGTCCCGGGTCACACGCCGTGCCAGCGCCATGGGGAGCATGTCAGTGAATCTCTGGATCTCGCAGATCACGGCCTCCGTGTAGGGCATCCGGGGCCGGTCCTCCATCTTGGGGGAGCGATTTCGGCCAACCACGCGGTCAATCTCCTCGTGGAGCTTCTCTGGGGGCAGGTCAGCAGGGCATCACGTGGCCGCCGGCATGTCCCTGGGCGGCTTGTGTGGCCGGGCCCGAGGGACACTGGCGGGGGCCGTGCCTGGCCCCTGCAGGGGCTGAACGGGGCTCCCCCTCCCGGCTCGCAGGTCCCCTGGCTGGGAACGCAGGAAGTCTGAGGAGGGACAAGCGCCATGCCCCCTTTGAGGACCCCCACGCCTTCGCACGGGGTCCGGGTGATCCTCGCTTTGCAGGCTCAGCATCCAGCACCTCCAGTCCCAAAAGTCAACCTCCTGGGCAGTGTTCCCAGCCTGGTGCCCCCCAGGCACGCTGGGCTAGAGCACCTCCTTCCCGGTCAATGCAGTCACCACATCCAGAGGAGGGAAGGCTTTGGGGGGCACAGAGGGGCCCCACCCCCCTCCACCGCTACCTTCAACCTCTGGGTACTTCAGCAGAATCAGCAGGGCGTAGCGCAGTGTGGTGCTGACCGTCTCCGTGCCTCCGAAGAAGATGTTCAGGGCCGTGGCGACCAGGTTCTTCTGGAAGAACTCTGAGCCTGGGCTGCCCTTTTCCTAGGCGGAAGAAGGCGGCGGGGGGGGGGGGGGGGGGATATTTCAAAGGCGTCATCTGTAAAGCGAATTCCCCTCTCCAAAGTTTGCTGACTGCCACAGGCAGCATTCCCGGCCAGCACCCATATCGGATGGGGGCAGAGTGAAGGGCCCAGTTGGAAAGCTGACCGGTGCCAGCATCTCCCACTGCATGTCCCAGTCCGACAGCGGAGGGGTCAGGGCCACCTGCAGAGAGCCAAAGTCTGCCTCGTATTGTGCAGGAAATAGAAGGACGGCTCAATTGGATGGAAAACTCAAATAGCAACTCTAGGGGAGCAGTTCCAGGCACCTGGGCCCCGGATCTGCCAGCGCCTCCTGCAGCCCGGCTCCGCCGCACCAGGCCCAAAGCAGAGCGGGGAGGCGCCCGGGGGGGGGAGGGGAGACTGGGGGGCCAGTGCTGGGGAGGGCGGTTCGGGGAGGGCTGCCCCGCGAGCGGCTCCTCGCTGCCCCGCAGGGCACCTCTCCTGCCGTGGGCCGTGGCTGCGCTGCGGGGGTGGCTCACCTGCAGCATCTTCACCAGGAAGCATTCCATGAAGTCGCGAGGCGCCCCGGGGTCCAGGGACTCCTGGCTGGCCTGGGCCTTGCGCGCCATGAACTCCCCCAGCCCCGTGAGGTGCCTGAAGACCTTGCGCTGCGGGCCCGGCAGGAACCACATGACGCCCGAGAACATGTCATAGAGCTGCGTGGGCAGGCGGAGAGGAAGGGCAGCTTCAGCGAGGCGAGGGGACCGGGTGTGTCGGCGCGCTCCGGGAATGGGCACTCGGAAGGCGCTTCCTTCTGAGGATTCATTACATTTCTGTACCACCCATAGCCAAAGCTCTCTGGATGGTCCACAATATTTTAAGTCGCCCATCCAGATTTCAACCAGGCCCAGCCATGCTGAGCTTCCACGATTAGGCAGGATCAGGCACTTCGGGCGATACAGATGCCCTGCTTCCCTTCCCCCTACCCAGGCCCGCTTCCTTTCTCCCTCACGGTCATGGCTGTGCACGGATGGGGACCACATGCCCCTCCAGGTGCTGCTGGGCTCGTGACTCCCATCTGCCTGGAACCTGCCGGTGAGGAACGGGGGGAGCTTGATCCAGCGACTTCGGAGGGGCCCCGTGTGCCACGGCTCTGCCATCTCAGAGCCCCACCAGGGCTCCCTCTTCTCTCTGCCCCAGGAGCACCACAGGTGCTGGGGTGCTGCGCTCAGCCAGGGGTCAACGGGGCAGAAAGCTGCCTTGGTCGGATCCGCACGACTCGGCAACCCAGGCTGCTGAGCTTGTTCCTGCAGAGGCATCCCGCACATGCCCGGCACACGACTCTGGAGGAGATCAGGAGAGTGGCTGCCCGGGGAAGGGCCTTCTCTGCAATGGTGCCCCAGCTCGGGAACGGGCTCCCTGGGGCGGCGCGCATGGTGCCGTCACTCGTCCTTTGAGCGCCGGGCCGAATCCTTTTTATTTCCCCAAGCCCTTTAAAAGTTAGCATTGTTTTAATGTTGATTTTATTGTGATTTCTACTGCGATCCTGTGTCTTGTGTACCTGTGTATGTTATTGCCACCCTGAGACACTGCACAGGGTGGGATACAAACATTGTACATACGTGAATACATGGAAGCTCGGCCCCCGTGGCTCAGCTGCACCTGTGTGCGCGTGCAGCGCGGAGCTGGCCTGCCCGTACCTGCCCCCAGGGGGTGGCGGTGAAGTGGAAGATCTCGAGCATATTGTTCAGCATCGAGAGGAACTCCTGATCCTCGTAGTCGAAGCGCTTGCCGAAGATGACGGAGCTGATGACGTTGGAGACGGAGCGGCTCAGGATGTAGGTGGGGTCAAAGGGCGCACCTGCAGAGGACAGAAACGTCGGGCCCTGCCACTGAGACCCCGGGCCCCCTGGCTAAGATCTGCAAACTGGCCCAGTCCTGGCCTGGCAAAGGATTTTGGGACGGGACACGCTAACCTTGAGGGCTCCAGTCAAGGAAACCGAAACCGACTGCCTGGCCCTCTTGGAAACGATGAGTCCGACTGATTAGATGCAGCGGCTGCCCTTCGCCGCATCCCCAGGCCCTGAAAGCAGCACTCCGTCATTGAGCCTTTGCAAGCGGGAGGCAGGGGCCAGGCTCCGAACACGAGGAGCTTGCACAGCTTGGAAGCCCAGCGGTTTGCATGGGCCACTGTGGGCCCCGCATCACTTGCCTGCTCTGTCAGTTAGCCGTGCATCATGCGCAATTGCGCACTTTCTTCTCTGCTCGGAATCAGTTTAACGGGAGCGATGTGCTCTGTGCCAATGAGGCGTGGCATGTGGAACACACTCCAGCCGTCAAAATCATGCCAGGACACCCCGTTTTCCTAACCCTAACCCTACCCTGGTGCACACCCCTAACCCTAATATGGGGGTAAAGTTCCATTGAAAAGAGGGTGATTTTGAAAAAGCCTTCCTTGAGTAGGTTTTTCTGCCCAGCTCATCCTTTCTGCCCATTCTAAACACATTCCAGCCATCAAAATCCTGGCAGGACACCTCGTTTTCTTAACCCTAACCCTACCCTGGTGCACACCCCTAACCCTAATATAGGGATAAAGTTACATTGAAAAGAGGGCGATTTTGAAAAAGCCTTCCTTGAGTAGGTTTTTCTGCACAGCTCATCATTTCTGCCCATTCTAAACACATTCCAGCCATCAAAATCCTGCCAGGACACCTCGTTTTCCTAACCCTAACCCTATCCTGGTGCACACCCTAACCCTATGTTTTTATTTAAATAAAAATTTTCAACCTAATAGGGGGTGAAATTTCCCTTGAAAAGAGGGCGGTTTTGAAATGTCCTCCTTGAGGAGCTTTTTCTGCGCAGCTCATCCTTTCTGCCCATTCTGAACACATTCCAACCATCAAAATCGCACCAGGACACCTCGTTCTTCTAACCCTAACCCTACCCTGGTGCACACCCCTAACCCTCATATAGGGCTGAACATACCTTTCTCAATAAAGATTTCTTTGGCTCTCCCCAAGAGTACCCAACCCCAAAGCAGCCCCAGGGAGCCATCGGGCCGAGTTCCCGCGGCTGCCCAAGCTCAGCTCAGCTCACCTTCCATGCTCTGCACGGCTTCCACCAAGAAGTGGGCCTCCTCCAGGATCCGCTCTTCGATGGATCTCTTCCCCATCCCGAAATTCCGCAGAGTCGTGAGGGAGAATCGGCGCAGCTGCCTGGCCCGTTCCCCGCTGCTGAAGGCGACCCCTGGGAAGCCAAGGAGGAGGGAGGGGCTGGACCACGGACCGGGAACTGGCCCTCCCCACCCAAAGGCAGTCGAAATGCCCCCCCCCGCCCCCGCTCACGGAGCTGGCATTGCACCTCTGGGAGCCGGAGAGCATGAGCCTGGGGGGTCTGCCCCTCACCCGGTTGCAGAGCTCCCTTGAGGGCCCTCCATTCGGGCAAGGCAGCCCTGGGATCGCCCCGCAGGGTCACCTTTGACCATAAAGGCCCCCTCCCAGGCCCGCCCCCTGCCCACCGGGACTGACCGTAGCCCCGGAAGAGCCAGTCAAAGGTGGCCTGCTCCCCACGGCCAGAGAACTCCTCGGCCTGATCCACCAGCGCCTCCTTCACAGCGTCGTACCCGCAGAGCACCACGACGCGCCGGGGCCCCAGGTGGATCATGAAGACCGGCCCGTACTTTTCACCGATCTGCCAAAAAGAGGGAGAGAAGGGGGGGGCAGCTCCGTGTGAGAGGAAGAGGCACTGG